TTTGTACCATTGAAGCTAAACTGGTATAAATTCAATTTAGACTGTTATAATTTTAGGATGTTAAATGCAATCCCCATGGTAACGACAAAGAAAATAACTAAAGAATAAATACAGAAGGGAATGAGAAAGGGATTTAAATGTTTCACCACCAAAAAATTAATTAAACACAAAAGAGGACAGTAATACTGGAAATTAAGGACAAAAAATCCATAAGGTATGCAGAAAACAAATGCAAAATGAAAGAAGTCCCTATTTACCAGGAATTACTTTAGATGTAAATGGATTAAACTCTCCAAACTCTCTCTGTTAAAAGACAGAGATTGGCAGAATGGATTTAGAAAGCCAAATCCAACCATGTGCTGTCTATAAGAGATGCACTTGAGATCCAAAAACGTAAATAGATTGACAGTGAAAGGATGGGCAATGACATGCCCTACAAATAGTAACCCAAAGAGAGCGAGAGTGGCTGTGCTAATACCAGACAAGACAGACTTTAAATCAGAAAAGGTTACAAGAGGGAAAGAAGGACATCATATATTAATAAAAGGCTCAATACAGCAAGATATAATAATTATAAATATTTATGCACCTAATAACAGTCCATCAAAATATTTATATCTTACATTGGGAAGATTGTTGCTGGCTCTGAGTCTGCCTCCAGTCTGCTCATGTTGCTTTTGTTGTAATGGTGGTCGTATCTGGGAGCTCAGTATCAAGAGGGCAGACTTGAGCCCACACTGCCAGGCTTCAGACCTCAGCTATTAGCTCAGTGCCCCCCTGGGCAAGTTACCTACACTAGGCCTTGGTTTCCTCATCTATTGGAGTGGGGATGGTAATAGTACTTATGTCCAAGGGCATAGGTCCAATCGTGAATGTTAAATGAAGGGATATAGGACAGTATCTGGTACAGAATAATTATAGATTTTTCATTGACATTTTATACATTCTGTTTTCTTCAGAGACTTTCTGGTTCATGTTTTGCACTCAGATGCTTACTTTTCCTGGAATTTATTTGGGAGCACCATGTGAGGTAGTACCTTTATTTCTAGGCACAGGGTTGGCCCTCATCCCAGCCTCCTTCCACCACTCTGAAAGGCCACCATATCATAGCCTAAGTTCTCTTATGTTGTTATACCCATTGTTGTGTGGACTGTTGGCCTGTTCCAGCACCGAAACCAAAACTGTAATTTTATTGTTTCATTTGATAGCACAAGTTTTCTCATCACTCTATTTTTTATTTTGCTCAACTACTCTTGCTTTTTCTACCAAGTGAAACTTGGATTCATTTTGCAAACTCCTATCTACAAAAATGCAAAAATTTTATTTGGAAATTTTAATTAAAATTACATTCTATTATAGATTCAATTACCTATAGCCTGGAAGCCATCCCTCCTCACTTTGAATTTTCCTGCCTTTCTGGCTTAAACCAATGTATTTCTTAAATGTATTTGATGTCTCGTGCCTCCCTAAAATGAATAAAACCAAGCTACACCCCAGCCAGCTTGGGCACATGTTCTCAGGACCTCCTGAGGGCTGTGTCATGGGTCATGGCCACTCATATTTGGCTCAGAATAAATCTCTTAAAACCTTTTACAGAGTTTGACTCTTTTCATCGATGATATATTTTTCTAAGGGCTCACTAAATTCTCTCTCCCTAATCTCCCATGCTTTCTCTCTTTCTATAGATAGATAGATAGATGTTTTTATTTTTTTATATATATATGTATATATATTTTTTCTCTTTTTTAAAAAAACTTTGTTCAGTTGCTTTTCTGAGTAGACCATCCTATCTTTAATAAGGACAGTTTTGTCTCTTCTTTTCCAACATTTATACTTTGTTTATTTTCACTGTCTTATTGCATCAGCTTCCAACACAACACTGAATAGTAGCATAAGGTCAGCACTGTTTGCCCCCACCCCATTTTTTTTGTACTCTAGTAAGCATTCTTCTAATGCAGGAGTTTTTAACCCAGGGTTAGATCTGTGAATGGAATCCCTGAATTCCTGGATGTAATTTCTGTATATGAGTATCTATGCGTTTGTGTAAGGTGAAATTGTCTAGACTCTTAAAAGGGTCCATGACCACAAAGATAAGAACCACTGTTTTAGCTTTTTGTGTAAAATATGATGTGAGCTCTTGATTTGAAATGTATATCCTTTATAATGTTAATCCTACTCCTAAATTTCTTACTAGGTTTTACCTTGTCTGGCTGTTGTTGTTTCTCAATTAGAAATTGATGTTTCAGGGATCTGTTGAAGCAATTGCATATTTTTCTCTTTTTATGTTAATGTGACTTATATTAACATATTCCCTAGTGTTTGTGGCATCACTGTACTTTAACTTTATATTATAGTTCTGGTATAGTGGTCCTTAATATGCTATTGGATTTTAGTTTTCAATATTGGCTAGAATTTCTGTGATAATTTTATGGGATTTTTAGAGTGTCACTTTTCTGGCCTGAAACCTCTGTGGCCAGTGGCGCCTTTGCCCAAGTTCTTGTCCTGTGTCCAGGAACAATGAGGTACGCAGACAAGTGGAGGGCGAGCAAGACAGAGCTTTATTGAGTGTTAGATCTCACAGGAGACCCGCAGGGGGCAGCCCCTCTCTGTAGGCAGGTTGTCTTGTTGAGTGTTCAGCTCTCGGCAGAGAGAAGGCCCTGGAGTGGGTGCTCCTGTCTGCAGGAAGGTTGTCCCATTGTCTCTGCAGCTCTTAGCAGACAGGAGGCCCTCGAGAGGGTGTCATCTCTCTGCAGACAGGGCATCTCAACTGGTGTTCAGCTTTCAACAGAGAGGAAGCCCTGGAGTGGGCAGCTCCTCTCTGCAGCTGGTCGTGCTGATGTCCCTTCATGCCCTGAAGCTCTCAGCAGAGGGCAGCTCTTCTCTGCAGCCAGTCGTGCCATGTTGTGCCCTGCTCTGATGGAGCCTGGGGCTTTTATGGGCCCAGAGGGGAAAGTGCATGCTGACTGGTCCATGGGCAGCCATGTGCGGGCCCAGAAAAATCACCTTGAGTTCCCCTCTGGTTCATAGGACAGGCAGCCTGGCCCCCAGGCTTCAGGCCTGTCCCAGCCTGAAGGTGGGGCTTAACTGGGGACCCACCCCCATCTGCCCAGGGGCCTATCTGCCTCCTGCAGCCATCCATGGTGCCCAGGCTTCTGGTACTAAGGCGCATGTGTGCCCAGCCACCCTCAGCACCCCCAAGCTTCCCCTCCTGCACCTCTCAGTGCCCACAGTCTGGAGGGGGCCAAGGCAGCAAGGGGCTGGCATGTCAGCACTGCCACAAGCAGGCACACACCCGGCCAGGCTGTGACAGTGCCCAGGCTCAGCCCCAACTCTGCTTTGAGATTGGAGTGGGTGCTGGGAGCGGGAAGAGGCTGGGCAGCGGGAACAGGCACCTCCAAGCCTACAAGGGCAAGAGGGGCCTTCCCTGGCTCCCCAAGAGTGCAGGGATGCCTGGGTCAGCAGCCCCAGTTTGGGCAGCTGCACCTGCACCAGGAGTGGGGGCGGGCTCTTGCCTGCTCCGTGGAGCAGGAGGCCCAGATCCATAGCCACGAGTTGGGCAGCTGCAGTTGTACCTGGAGAACTCCCACCTCGCCCACCTGCAAGGGGCAGGGATCCCACTTATCCCCAGCTCCTGCTGGCTCCATGGAGCATGGCACCTGGCCACGTCCTCTCGCCACCTGGGGTGGGGTCTCCAGGTCCTTGCCAGACCTGAGCCAGCATCCCGGTCGTGGCAACACCGCCGTGAGCTCCCCTTCACCCAGCCCAGCCCGTGGCAGCGACCCTCAGGGAGGCAGTCTGCAGGGTTGGGGGCCTGTCTGCCTCTGCCTTGGGCCCTCCCTGAGCAGCCGGTGTGACGGCAGCAGCTACATCAGGTGGCCTGCCACTGCCATCCGTAATATTTATAGTGATATTTATCTGTAGGTACTTTTAGGGATTTTTTTTTTTTTTATCAAGCTTTGGTCACAGTTTATGCCACATTTAAAAATGAATTGGGAAAAAGTTTATCCTTTTATGTTCTAAAACAAGTTAAATAGCATAGAAGTGTTTGTCCTTGAAGGTGTGAAACTCACCCACAGACTGCCTGAGCTGGCGCCTTTGGGAAGGGACTTCATTCCTCCCTGGGCCCCAGGCTGAGCGGGTCTGGCCTGGGTCACCTCCTCCACTCCAGATGCCGCAGAATCACAGCAACCCTTCAGGGCCCTCTCCTGGCAGCGCCTCCCCTGGTTCTGGTGCTAGGACTCGCCTCCCGTCTGCACCGAGGGGAGGGCGGCAGTCCCATCCCTGCATTACCCTGAAACTGCATGCTCTGAACCAGACCCAGTGCCCTTTCCACCCGGCTGCCCAGCTGCTGCCAGCCCCACTCTGCGGAACCAGTGGCACAGTGAGGCCCGTCCTGATGGCCTCCTGGAGCTGGAGCTCAGGCCAAGCCACAGGGCATCAGGGAGGACAGACGTTCAAGGGCTGGGTCCATTTGCTCCAGGATCCTGGCACCCAACAGAAAGGAAAGCCAGGCTAATGACAGCTGTGTCCTCACACTTGACAGAGTCCTCCCTCCGTCCTTATCAAAGTTTAAAAGGAATGGAGCCAGGCTGGAGAGAGTGCCTAGCTCTGCAGGGGAGCCCGTCTGGGGAAGCTGGGATCTTTCTCCCGCCCTCCCCTCTGCGCTGCTTCCAGGGCAGACAGTGGTGCTCCATTCCCTTCCATGCCAACCCGCCTAGCTGCCCACTCCATCCAGCCCTGGAGGGCAGGGAACGGCCTCAAACATCCAAATCCCACCCAAAACTGAGCCCAGAGGCACCCACTAAACATCTGTTTACCCCACCCAGGGTAGGGCAAGAGGGCACAAGCCCCCCCAGTTCAGATGCTGCTGACGGTGTGTGCTGGGTGCAGACCCCACTTCCTTGAAGACTGAGGGCAGTGCCCCCAATCCCGCTGACCTGCTGTGTGTGCACCTGCCATGGGGGAGGGTGCCAGGGGAGAGGCACTGGAGGTGTCTGAGCTACCCCCACCCCCTGTTGCAGGACTTCAGGGCCACAGGTGCTGCCAAGATGCTCCAGGGCCCCTGCTCCGTGCTCCTGCTCTGGGGAATCCTGGGGGCCACCCAGGCCCAGCAGCAGGAGGTCATCTCGCCAGATACTACGGAGAGAAACAACAACTGCCCAGGTGCCAGGGTTCGGGGGCCGGGGGCTCTGGGCATTCAGGGGGCAGGTGGGACCAGTGCCCAGGTGCCAGGGGTCAGGAGGCCGGGGGCTCTGGGCATTTGGGGGGCAGTCAGGACCAGTGCCCAGATGCCAAGGGTCACCAGGTGCCAGGGTTCGGGGGCCAGGCCTCTGGGCATTTGGGGGGCAGTTGGGACCAGTGCCCAGATGCCAAGGGTCACCAGGTGCCAGGGTTTGGGGGCCAGGCCTCTGGGCATTTGGGGGGCAGTTGGGACCAGTGCCCAGGTGCCAGGGGCTGGGGGCCGGGGGCTCTGGACATTCAGGGGGCAGTCGGGACCAGTGCCCAGATGCCAGGGGCTGGGGGCCGGGGGCTCTGGACATTCAGGGGGCAGTCGAGACCAGTGCCCAGGTGCCAGGGGTTGGGGAGTGGAGACTCTGAGCATTCAGGGGGCAGTGAGGTCAAACCACAGGCAGGGGGCCGGGAAACGGGGCTGGACCAGCAGTCCCTCCTGAGGCTGGCTCATGACAGTCCCGTGTCCCACAGAGAAGACGGACTGCCCCATCCATGTGTACTTCGTGCTGGACACCTCGGAGAGCGTCACCATGCAGTCCCCCACCGACATCCTGCTTTTCCACATGAAGCAGTTCGTGCCGCAGTTCATCAGCCAGCTGCAGAACGAGTTCTACCTGGACCAGGTGGCGCTGAGCTGGCGCTACGGCGGCCTGCACTTCTCCGACCAGGTGGAGGTGTTCAGCCCACCGGGCAGCGACCGGGCCTCCTTCATCAAGAGCCTGCAGGGCATCAGCTCCTTCCGCCGCGGCACCTTCACCGACTGCGCGCTGGCCAACATGACGGAGCAGATCCGGCAGCACGGCACCAAGGGCACCGTCCACTTCGCCGTGGTCATCACCGACGGCCACGTCACCGGCAGCCCCTGCGGGGGCATCAAGCTGCAGGCCGAGCGGGCCCGCGAGGAGGGCATCCGGCTCTTCGCCGTGGCCCCCAACCGGAACCTGAAGGAGCAGGGCCTGCGGGACATCGCCAGCACGCCGCACGAGCTCTACCGCAACGACTACGCCACCATGCTGCCCGACTCCACCGAGATCGACCAGGACACCATCAACCGCATCATCAAGGTCATGGTGAGCCGCGGGCGGGAGCACCGTCCACCCACTCCGGGCCTCACTTTACCCCTCCGTGAGTGCCGAGGCCGAGGGAGGAAGCTCCGGGCAGGGCCTGGGCCACTCAGGTGTCCCTCGATCCCCACCCAGACTCGAGGTGCAGCCGCCCCAGGTCTCCAGGCGCACAGCTAACCAGCGCGTCTGTCTTTTCTGCAGAAACACGAAGCCTACGGAGAGGTGAGTGGCGCTTCCCTTCCTGCCAGTGCTGGCGGGCAGCTGACCCAGCAGAGATGACGGCACCAAGCTGCCGACTCCTGGCGCCTCCAGGCTGGAACAGATGAGAGGAGAGGGAACCACCTGCTCCATGTTGGACCTGAGGCCTTGGAGTCTGGACAAAGCCCAAAGCCAGGCTGTTTAGATCCCGGGGGGTCAGCATTAGGACACCCACAGAGCACCTGTTGCAAGGAGAGGTCAGGGTCTGGCCTCCGGGCAGAGGGGATCCATCCACCCTGGACTCCAGGCCCGAGCCCAGCCCAGTAGGTCGGGGGGAGAAGGAACTGGCATCATCGGGGTCCATGACAGTGCGTCCCAGCTGCAGCTCTCAGGAAGGGGAGCAGGCGCCTGCGGTCTCCCCTGTGAGGTTCCTGCAAAAACGTGCCCTGCCTCAGAATCGCTGCTCACTGTGGTTTCATGGCTCTGTACAAATGGTGCCTCCCTCACCGATGCCCCTTGCTCTTCCATCCTTTTGTAAAATTTATGTATTTATATTTGTTTTTTTTAGAGACAGGGTCTTTCTCTGTCACCCAGGCTGGAGTGCAGTGGTACGATCACGGCTCACTACAGCCTTGAACTCTGAGGCTCAAGCTATCCTCCCACCTCAGCTGCCCGAGTAGCTTGGACTACAGGCACCTGCCACCATACCTGGCGTGAGCATGTAGTTCCAGCTACTTGGGAGGCTGAGGTGGGAGGATTGCTTTCATATTTTTTCATAGAGATAGGATCTCGCTATGTTGCCCAGCCTGGTCTCTAAGTCCTGGCCTCAAGCAGTCCTCCCGCCTCGGCCTACCTAAATATTGGTATTCCAGGCATGAGCTGCACCCGGCCTTTCTTCCCTTCTATTTTCTGTCATGGCTTAAACCAGCCTTGGTTTTTCAAAACTTACCTAGAGCACTTGACAGAACCAAACTCTTTGGCTTGTCCCTGGTGGGGGCAGAGCCTCACAGTACCCCATGTCTGCTCCCTCACCCCGCCCGGGTTCTCAGGGCGTTTCAGCGTCTCCTTGGCCCCAGCTGAGGGTCGTGGGCTACACGTTCTGAGCCCCTGCTCTGCCACCTGGGGAATGTCCCACCCATGCAACCTTCTGTCTCTGCTTGCTCGTTTCAGTGCTACAGGGTGAGCTGCCTGGAAATCCCTGGGCCCCCCGGCCCCAAGGGCTACCGTGGACAGAAGGTAAGAAGCCTGGATTGCCTGCAGGGTCTGAACTACTGGGAGGCCCCTGATTTGTTCTGAAATCACATTTGGCCAGGCGCAGTGTCTCACGCCTGTAATCCCAGCACTTTGGGAGGCCGAAGCGGGCAGATCACAAGGTCAGGAGATCGAGACTATCCTAGTTAACATGGTGAAACCCTGTCTCTACTAAAAATACAAAAATTAGCCGGGCGTGATGGCATGCAACTGTCGTCCCAGCTACTCGGGAGGCTGAGGCAGGAGAATCGCTTGAACCCGGGAGGCGGAGCTTGCAGTGAGCCGAGATTATGCCACTGCACTCCAGCCTGGGCAACAGAGCGAGACTCCATCTCAAAAAGAAAGAAAAAAAAATCCACATTTAAGGCCAGCTGTGCCTCAGATGGTCTCAACACTTCTGACCCTGGAGAAACTAAAATTCTATATTTGTCTAATTCCTTTTAAATAGTATATTGAGAAAAGCAGAAACTTTAAAAAAATTATTAAGATATGCCATTAAACTACTTTTGTAAGCAAGCATTTTCAAGTAAGTAAATAAAATGTGAGATGCGTTACAGTTAATAATATGATTGCTCATTAACATGAAGGAACCTCTTTTGTGGCTTATTAGATAAGTGGTTTTAGGGAGCCTGGTTTGAACGTCTGCATTTTCCTAACAGAGGTGCATAAAATAAAATCCTTCCAAAACTCACTAACGGAATATGTGAAACTCCAATAATTCATGTCTGTCAAAAATTATAAAGAAAGGCATAGGAGGAGAAAGCAGCTTTTAAGGAGGTGAAATAAGGAATTGACTATCATAGAGGATGGTATTGCTAAGTAGCTTCGTGTTTTTCTAGATTTGGATGACAGCTGTCTAGACCAGTAGGTAACTGGATGTACTTTCTGCAGGATGAGACATCTCCAGGCTGCAGGTCAAATCCTGCCATCTCCTTCCTTGGCTTCTCCAGTCCTGGTGGCAGTGCCTACCCCACCACAGCTGGGAATGAATTTGCCACTTGGGGCAGCCTTGGCTGCACACAGCAGTGCAGTGACCTGTTCTGTTGGGGCCACTGGAAGCTGCCACAGGGGCCACTGTGGTTAGAGTTTGAGGGGGTGGCAAGGTGCCAAGCAGAGCCCAGGACAGGGCACAGCTGCAGTGTTCCAGGAGCCTCTGCCCACCTCATTCCCTGCCCTGAGTTTCCTCCCTTTTCTTCCCTTTGACCTCTTAATTCCTCCCCTTTCCTCTGCTCCTCTTTGCACTTAAATTGGGAGCATATCAATAAATTTATTTATTTAATAAAATTCTGTCATAGATTAAAATTTTAATTCCAAGGGAGTGTAACCTTTATGTGGTTTTCTGAAGTCCTGATCTTTCTAAAGCTACTTAGATAAATTAATCTTTGTAGTGACAGTGACCTGGGCATCGCTGGAGAAATCAGAGCCCAGTGTTGGCCATGGTCACGGCCACTGGGTACAGAAGGGACCCCCACGGGCCAGGCACCCCCACCCCGAGGCAGCTGTTCTGGCTCCATTTTGCAGGTGGCTTTGTGGGAAGCTTCCCTCAGAGCTGGGAGAAATGGGTCAAAGCAAACCCTGGTCTGACAGAGCCTGGCCCCTTGGGAAGCAGCCGACACCAAGACCTCTCCACCTGGGCAGGGGAATCAGTAACCTCTGCTATGTCACCTCTCAGAGGAGCTGTGGCAGGGTCCCCAGCTGCCTGCCGCCCACCCTACCCTGCCTCAATTTACTCCTTTCTCTGTTGCCTGCTTTTAGGGTGCCAAGGGCAACATGGGTGAGCCGGGAGAGCCTGGCCAGAAGGGAAGACAGGTGAGTGTCCCTGCCCCACGCCCGCCCCGCCTGCAGCCTGGTGCCCCAGGGCTGGGCTCACACTGCTGCTTTGTGCCTCACAGGGAGACCCAGGCATCGAAGGCCCCATTGGATTCCCAGGACCCAAGGTGAGTGACCTCGGCCAGGGGCCTGGCTCCACCCTGCGGCCCCAGCACTGCCAGGCAGGCTCCCCCAAGCCCAGCCTCGGCCTCAGCCTCTACCACCCTCCCCCAGTTACCAAGGAACAGAAGCACCTCGATAACTTGACGGCCGTCCCAAAACCCAGCCTCCGGCCCGACCCTGGGCTCAGCCTCCTCCACAGACTCTTTGTCGAGAACACCAGATGCCAGCGGCCCACCAAGCACTCCCCTCAGCCTGCAGGGCCGGCCCTTCCCTGCCTGCGTCTCTGCAGAACTCCTCACTAATCCCCTCTCTCCTCCTGCCCCCAGGGCGTTCCTGGCTTCAAAGGAGAGAAGGTGAGGCGCTCACCCTGACAGACCTCAGACCTGCTCCAGCCTTGGCCCAGACCCACCTGGCAGCGTCTGCCGCAGCCTGTCACTGCTCCTGGGGCACCGGCCTGGGCTTTCCTCAGTGGTGGCTTCGGGGGTTCCTGGGGGGTCCTGTGGCCTCGAGTTTGGCCTAAGGGCTTTGGCCCCCCAGAGACAGCAGTACCCATGATGCTTTGAGGCACCGAGCTCACTGCCCCGGCTTTCCTCCTACACAGGGTGAATTTGGAGCCGACGGTCGCAAGGTAGGCTGGTTGGGTGAGCAGAGCCCCTCCTTTCTGCTGCTTAGGGCAGAAGGACCGGGGCTAATGGAGTCCCCTCTTCCTTCTCTCTCCAGGGGGCCCCTGGCCTGGCTGGCAAGAATGGGACCGATGGACAGAAGGTAGAGGGAGCCTCGGGCTCACAGCTGGACTGGTCTCACGGAGGCATCCGAGCCTCTACAGAGCCCCCAGATCCAGCCTGACCTGTCAGCTTACACGTGTGCATACATGCATACACATGCATACACAGATACACACGCACACACATGCGCACACATGCACACAGAAACACGTGTGCACATATACACGTGCACACATGTACACACATATACACACGCACATGTACATGCACACATGGACACATATGCACATGCACACGTACACACACATGCACACACACGCCCATGCACATGCACATACACGCACTCCAGGTCCCGCCACATCCTGCTGCCCCACCCAGGGCTTCACCAGCCTGCATCTAATTCAGGGCTGCACATCCTGGCTTGGGGCAGCTCCACAGCTGCCCACAGAGGCCAGCAACAAGCCCACCTCCTCCCAGGCTGAGCCACAGGAGAGCACCACCCACTCCTTCCATGGCTCCCCGTGGGAATGTCCTCTGTGCCCAGGGAGCTCTGCCCTCGGGGCCGCTGGGAGGCAGCCTAGGCTGAGGAGCAGCCAGGGATGGCCTGTTCCCGCACACCGGCCACTCTGCCTCCCTGGAGACAGCTGCACAGCAGCCATGGCCTCATGTGTGCGCCCGTGTGCTGGGAAGAGAACGCTGCAGCTCAGGGGCAGAACCGGGCGGGCTGTGCCTTGGTCATTGGCACACACGGACCCCAGAACCCTGCCCTGAGACTCCTCCTGCCCCCTTCTCCTTCAGGGCAAGCTGGGGCGCATCGGACCTCCTGGTTGCAAAGGAGACCCCGGAAACCGGGTAAGGGCCGTTTGCACCCCTCCTTCAGCCTCGGCTCAGGGGGTATGGGTGCCTGACTGGGCGGGAGAGTGGTTGCTGCTGCAACGGGAGCTTGGGTTCTCCCAGCAGCCCAGCACCCCCAGCCCAGCGTTCTGCTGGGCCTGAGTTATATAAGGAATTCCCCCTGGGAGCTCCTGGTGGATCCCCGTGGCCTGGAGACCTGATGCGTCTTAAGCTTCAGTGTCACTGGACAGCTCCATTTCCCTGAGCAGCAGATCTGGGCCTGGCCTCTCCGTCACTGAGCCTGGGGCCTCACAGCGAGGGTGGGAGGTGCCTCCCAGGCTGGGACAATGGGGCACTTGGGCCCTGGCTCATGGGGAGAACCTCACCCGCCGTGTGCTGAGCTCCACCTCTCACTCCTCTCTCAGGGCCCCGATGGTTACCCAGGGGAAGCCGGGAGTCCGGGGGAGCGAGGAGACCAAGGCGGCAAGGTAAGTGACCTTGTCAAGATGCAGGCCGGCCAGGGCAAGTGGGGTCACCAGCTTCCAGGGGTTTCCCTGCCCCCCACCGAGAGGGGCCTCCTGGAGGCAGCCCCAGCTGAGAAGCTGAGCAGAGAGGGCCTTTCTGTAACACTGGTCAGTGAGGACTCAATGGCCATGGGACGCAATGAGGGGTACCCTGCCCACTGCTTCATCAGCTTGCGTCTAACCCAGGGCTGCACATCCGGCTTGGGGCGGCTCCACCACTGCCCACCTAAGCCTCAGCAACCAACCCACCTCCTCCCAGGTGCAGCCCCAGGGAGCCCCACCCACACCTCCTGGAGCTTCCCCATGGGAACGTTCGTGCCACGGGGGCTCTGCCCTCCTGGGCTGCCTGCGGTATCGCCCCATCCCTGGCGGCCCCAGGATCCCCAAGGGCTTTTCTCTGGGAGCCTGGCACTTGGACCCAGGGCTTCCCACTTCCGGTCCACCTCCCCTCAGCCCGAGCCCGTCTGGCTGAGCCCCCTGTGCAGATGTGTGGGCGTCCTGCCTGTGACACACACTCTGCCCTCGGCTGGCACGGACGTTCCGGCAGCCCCCAGCCAGCATCTGGCATCCGAGGTGCCCTGTGGACATCAGGGAGGTGCAGCCCCAAGCCCAACTGTGGGTCCTGCCCCACCGCTGGGCATCCTGCACCCCCTTCCCCTGCCAAAAGACGTGAGGCTGATTCTGCAAACCCTTCCAGGGGGACCCTGGCCGCCCAGGACGCAGAGGGCCCCCGGGAGACATCGGGGCGAAGGGAAGCAAGGTGAGCCCCTCTGCCTCTTCACCTGCAGCTGAGCTGGCCACACTCACGCCCATGGCCCGAGTGGACGCTCACACTGGCCACTGTCTCTGCTGTCGCCGTGGTTCCCCATTGGGCTCTGGGGACATGGGGAGGGACAGGAAGGACAGGGCATGTGCCCTGAGCCACCAACCGCTCTGACCTGTGTCCTCCTCACGAGGCTGGACAAGCTCCAGGGGACCCTGCAGGGCCCCACGTGCTTGGCAAGTGGATTCCGCTGGAAGACAGTAGGGGCTCCACACCACACACGGACAGGCGTGACAGTGCCTGAGGGCCCAGGGTCAGGCCCTGCTGTGGCCCCTGCCTCTGGGTGACTGTGCTGTCTCTTCCTTCCTCAGGGGTATCAAGGCAACAATGGAGCCCCAGGAAGTCCTGGTGTGAAGGGAGCCAAGGGTGGGCCTGGGCCCCGTGGACCCAAAGGCGAGCCGGTGAGTCCCTCGCACCCCCGCCTCAGGGCCCCGCTCTGAGCATCCTCCTTGCAGCTTGAGGAGGACCATGGGGGAAGGGCACCTGGGCTGTAGGCAGGAACCCCTGCTGGCAAGGCACAGCCAGGCCGCCATCTTCCTGAGAAGTGGACCCAGACCACCCCACGGGTACCCCCAGGGCTGAACTTAGAGGGGAGGCCGAGGCAGGTCCTTCATGGTGTTCCCTAAACCCAGCCCCAGCTGCCCAGGCCGTCCTGCGAAGCGTGGGTGGGGCCCGTCCCAGTGCTGACCACTCCAAGGGGATTCTGTCTGAGCACGGAGCCTGCCTGGGAGTGACCACAGTGGCTGGACGGCACCAGATCTCCGCTGGACCCCAGCTTATCACCTAAAACACCACTCACCGGACATGCACCTCCACCTGGAGCCTCCCCAGATCATTCCCGACTCCTCAGCAGGGGCGGGACCAACCCAACATAGGGATGATGGCTGGTAGCAGAGCCACCGGCGCAGGCTGAGGCCGTGGGGAAGCAGAGCCCTCCTGGAGAGAAGCAGCATCGGCCCCAGCACAGCTCCCACCCTCCCGGGCCTCTGGGCTTGTGCTCAGCTGCCTCCCTCACCCACACGCCTGTTCTCTGCAGGGGCGCAGGGGAGACCCCGGCACCAAGGGCAGCCCAGGCAGTGACGGCCCCAAGGGAGAGAAGGTGAGTCCTTGTGTGGTGGTGCCACAGGGTCTCACTGTGGTGCCCATGGGCCCTTCTGATGAGGGCCCCAACCCCGTTCCTCCCAGAGAACGACAGAACTCCAGGGCCTCACCCTCCAGGGGACACTCCTGTAGAGTCTGGGAACGCAGCCCGGAGGTCCCCACACCCCATTCCCTGCTGAGGGAGCTCCAGTACCCGCCCAGGCACACCCCACACGGCTGTGCAGGCACCGCTCACACCCCCGGCCCACTGAGGCACAGGCCCGTGACCTCAGGGGTGATGCTGAAGGGCTGTGTGGCAAAACCCCGGCCACCAGCTCCCCTCGACATCAGGTGAAGGGGCTTCCTCCCGGGCGGTGGACAAGGTCTTACCCACGTGTGGGTGGCCTCAGGGGGACCGAGAGACCCCATGCTCAGAGCAGCAGCTACAGGCACCGGGAAGGGCTGTGGGTGAAACAGGCGACTGGTCCATGTCCCCCTGGACAGACGGGTCTTCCTCTCAGGCCCCTTCCCCAACCCCGGCCACACCCGCCTCTCACGTGGGACCCAGGCTGGAGGCCTCAGCTGAGACCCATGGGGCCTCCCTTCCCTTCCCACAGGGGGACCCTGGCCCTGAGGGGCCCCGCGGCCTGGCTGGAGAGGTTGGCAACAAAGGAGCCAAGGTAGGGGGGCAGGGGAGGTGTACCCCAAGGTAGGGGGGTGAGGGGGGCTGCACCTCAATGTAAGGAGGCCCAGGGAGGCTGTACTCCAAGGTGTGGGGGAGGGGGCTGCACCTCAAGGTAATGGAGGAGGGGTGCTGTACCCCAAGGTAGTGGGAGATGGGGCTGAACCCCAAGGTAGGGAGGCCCAGGGGGACTGCACCCCAACGTAAGGTGGCCCAGGACTGCACCCCAAGGTTGGGAACCCAGGTGGGTGCTGCACCCCAAGGTAGGGGTGCTTAGGCGGGGACGGCACCCAGAACCTGGCCTACTCCACGCGGTGTGGTCAGGGCTGAAGGTCAAGTGGAGCCACAACCTCCGGGAGGGTCACAGGGGCCGGGGCCAGACCCACCTTACCCCCGAAGCCCTGTAGTGTCCACAGGATTGATATCGGGGTCTCCAGGGTGCTGTTGTCAGTCAAGAGGACCCCAAACTCCTCCCCTTTCTTCCAGGGAGACCGAGGCTTGCCTGGACCCAGAGGCCCCCAGGGGGCTCTTGGGGAGCCCGGAAACCAGGTCAGTGTGGGACACCTGTAGCCCCACGGCTAGAGGTGGGACCCCTGTGCCCTCTGACCCCACGGCTAGGGGTGGGACCCCTGTGCCCTCTGACCCCGCGGCTAGGGGTGGGACCCCTGTGCCCTCTGACCCCACGGCTAGAGGTGGGACCCCTGTGCCCTCTGACCCCCCGGCTAGGGGTGGGACCCCTGTGCCCTCTGACCCCACGGCTAGAGGTGGGACCCCGGCGCCCTCTGACCCCACGTCCATACCCTCTTTGTGGCACCACTCCGGTTTCTCTGGCCGTGTGAGGACAGGCTGGAGCCAGCCACTGTCCCCATAGGAAACCCAGGCAGCAGGGCTTGGCCTCAGAAGCCAGGACCTGCTTCCCTAGACCCCGAGCACCTCATACCCAATCTCAGCCCCAGCCCCTCATTCTGCCCTGAAGGACCCAGGTGGGGGAGTCAGGGGCAAAGCGGTGGGCCTGAGGGCCTGGATGGGCCACGGTGAGAGGAGGAACTGGGACCCTCAAGACAGGGGTCCATGGCCCCCACAGGCAGCAGGAGGAGCTGGGGCCATGTGCCCTGATGCTCAGGGCTGGACGGAGCATGTCAGGTGACCCCTGGGCATGGCCAGTCCCTGCCTGTGGTGACTTCTGAATTTCTCTCCTGCCCTCAGGGATCTCGGGGAGACCCCGGTGATGCAGGACCCCGTGGAGACTCAGGACAGCCAGGCCCCAAGGTACGTGCTTCTCCTCCTGCAGCAGGATGTGTTGGGGGTTCAGGGCAGCTGCCTGAGGAGCAGGACAGGGGGCCGGCCTGGGGCCCCTCTTGCCAGCAGACATGCCTCAGGCCGGGCCTCTGCCTCCTGTTCTCAGCTCTGGAGGGAGGGGATGCCTCCAGGGTCCAGGAAGCCCCCCGGCTCGCCTCTTCATCGGTGACCCTTGGGTGTGGCTGGCGCATCCTTCCTGAGCCAGGGCCTGAGGGCAGCCATGTGGCCTGAGCAGGGTCCTCCCCATGTGTGGGCAGGCGGCAGCTCCTGGGTCTCTAGGCACATCCAGCCCCAACTGGAGATGGACAAGGCGAGGTTGGCTCTGCCAGGCCCCTGCTCACAGCCAGCCCTGGACAGCACCCCCAGCCCACTTCTACCCAGTGTGCACCTTGGGCCCTGTTGAGCACAGCCCCCCAGCCCCACCCCATCCTATGACCATGCTGACCGACTCAACGTCCTCCTCCAGGGAGACCCCGGCAGGCCTGGATTCAGCTACCCAGGACCCCGAGGAGCACCTGTGAGTCACAGCCTGGGATGGCAGCTCCCAGAAGGGGGTGGACATTGTCCCAAGGGCCCTGAAGGTTCCTAGTAGTTCCCTCAAGGCCTCCTCTGTGCAGAAGAAAGTGTGAGGTCCCTCCTACGGGACGGAGTGGTGAGAAGGCTCTGGGTGACTCAGCGAAGGACAGGTCCAGCGCAGCATCAGGAGAAGAGTGTGGCTCAGAACGCAGCACAGTGGCCTCACCCAGAGTGTGCATAAGCCAAGGAGGGAAACGGCTGCAGAAAGCTGCACAGAGGGAGGAAGGAGCACCGGACCTGAGGCTGAGTCACCCTGACTTCTGTTTGCTTCACAGGGAGACAAAGGCGAGCCCGGCCCACGCGGCCCCGAGGTACATGTGGGTCCTGTGGCCACCTGTGCCCACCCGGGGTGGGGGTCTGCATGCCCACCCACTACTGCTGGGAACACAGCGCCCACCGTCACTGATAGGACCATCCCTGTCTTGGGATGGTCCTGGCTCCCCAAGGTCCAGCCATGACACTTCTGCTGAGCTCTGAGGGAGCCACCGGCCACTGGCTGGTCCCTTTCCAACCAAAGTTCAGGCTTTGCCAAAAAACCACATAGATATTCCCATTTAAATGATCCCAAAATGCCAGATTGATTTTTCCACGTAAAAATCTCACTGGTGTCCCTGGTAGAGATAAATCATCTGTCCTAGGCTAACGTGTGTCCCCTGTCACAGGGCGGCCGAGGCGACTTTGGCTTGAAAGGAGAACCTGGGAGGAAAGGAGAGAAAGGAGAGCCTGTGAGTATCACCGTCCCGAAGCCCGCAGCAGCTGGGCAGAGGCAGGGAGGGGCCCTGAGGCTGAGCGTGTGCATCTGAGAGTACGGGAGGATGCCAGGCAACTTGGCCCCAGCCATGAGCACCACCCCCACCTTCCTGAAGGGGACGGCTGGCTCAGGGTCCTCCTCCTTCCACCCACCCTCACTTCCAGCATCCCCCAGAGTCCCCTCCCCAGCGACCCCCCAGTGACCCCCTGTCTCTTATACACATCTAGATGTGTATAAGAGACAGGGGTCAGGGTGTGCGTTCAGGCGTTCCATGGGGAACTCCCGGGGGGTGCGCTGGGCCACATTCACGGGTCCTGAGGCTGCCCCAGGGAGGAGCAGGGCCATGGACTCGGGGCCAGGGATCCCCACACGTGCTCCGACAGAGAACCTGGAGGTTGCACCTGCGTCTGGCTGCCCTTCAGCAGGTAGGCAGCCTCTGGTCCCACAACACAGTGGGCTGTGCCTCTGCTGCTGAGGTGTGGGCGTCCCCTCTCAGGGTCTGCCAGGGCCTGCACCAGCACCAGGGGCAGCTGGACCCTGAGGGCAGGAACCAGACCTTGGCCCCTCCACCCAGCCCTTCGTCCCTGATGGGGCAGGGAAGTCTCAGGACCCCATGATGGGCGACACGGCAATGTTCACTGTGGGCGCTTTGCTCTCTACCAGATGGAGGTCTTCCCCTCCCCTCCACCCCGGGGGCCAGCGTGAGTGGGCGCTGCGGCCTCC